GAGGAGGTATTAACCCAAATAAGCATACCAAGCTTATCTAACACATATTAACAACATATTTAGAGAAGCAATGTTTTCTTGTGAAGGATTTTCTCTATGGTGTTAAGAGGACCAACATTCAAATTTTTCTATGATTTACCTCATGAACTAATAAATCCATTTGAAAAATTTTAAGCTAATTTTCTAGCTAGTCAACCAAAGTGACATACTTCGCCTACGATAACAAAACAAGTTAGGTCTACCAATTGGTTTTGGCTTACCTTGCCCATTGATCTACTTTAAAAAATATTTATGTATTAAAATAAAAATAAAAAGAATTATAGTTAAAAATATTACATTTTTTTGTCATGTTATTGAAATGTATAATATACTATAATATTATAATTTAAATTATAAAAATTAATTAATTAATTTTAAATTATTGATTATAATGAGTTATTTTAACACATACATAAAGTAATTTTTTAAATTTATCTCTAAAACTATTAATTAATAAATAAAATTTTTAAATTATTCTTATAATTAAAGATATATTTATACAAAAATACATATAAAAATTTTTATTTAAAAAAATTATTGAGGAACCGACCTGGTAACCCGTCAACCCGGCTTTTGGCGGAGCGGACTAAGGTATATAATCTGTTTTAACTATGATGAGTTAACCTATCCCACCCACTTTTGGCGGCTAAAGGCAAAGATGAACTGACCCGTTTTGTCATCCCTAAGTAGAAAACTAGTGTGAAAGGACGAAATTAGTAGAACTCGTCATAAAAAAATTACCACCTAGCAAAGAGCTAATTAGTAAGGATAGGGAGCTTGCATAACTCGTCATCAAAGATTATCTTTCTAACAAGAGCTAGTGAGAAAATGTGGCGAGCTTGCATAACTTGTTGTCAAAGATTATCCTCCTAGCAATAACTAGTGTGAAAGAGTAGTGATTTAGCACATCTACTAATTATCGGTCAAACTACAATATCTTTTAAAGTCTCAATATTTATGCTAAGGCTAATAACCAAATTTTGGTTAACTGTCTTCTTGAAGCAATTTTAAAAAATCATACGAAGTTTTTCCTTTGTTACTTAGAGTTTGACATCCTCAAACACGACAATGACTCAAACAAATAAAAAAAAAATTAGTATCTCAATACATCTAAAAATTTAGCATATCAAATGTGTTGTCAATACTATAAAATATCATTAACAAATCGTCGCCCAAATGCACTATTAAAAAAATAAACATCTTTGAATAATAGTACGTCATGACAATGGATGTCCCAACATGTCATGATTATACCATAAAAATAGTATATATATATATATATATATATATATATATATATATATATATATATATATAAAATCATACAACTACATCGGGGTTTATGACGTAAGTTTTTTGTCCTTATATATTTCAAGAAGTTGCTTCTCTACTTTGAGTAACTCGACTTGAAATATTTTGTTGTTCTCCTCAACCTCCAATCTTATCGTCAACTTCCTTCTCGTTAACATTTTAGGTCAACATTTTTTTTACCTCCGTGATAATTTTAGAGCACACCTTGATCATAAATCTAAGTTGACCACACATTGATTATAGTTCTAAATCGAGTTTACCTTCACTTTAACATTTCTTTATAAAAGTATAACTCGACAAAAACAGTTATCGAGAAAAATTACAACTCGTTGAATCAACTTAGTCACTTATGCAAAAACAAACTTGACAATTGACTTACATAAACCAAGGAGTATATAATATGGATTTGTGCATAGGTTGAATAAGTCTTGTAAATTTTCATAGATTTACTTATGAAACCTAGTCAATTCATTTGTTTATACTAAGATTATACTTTGAGATCGGAGAGCTAGTAGACGTGTCCAACTTTTTGCATTAAATATATGATATTAAATGAAAATATTCCCTTATTTAATTTTCTTAAATATATATTAATACAATAATAAGAAATAAAATAAATATCAATTATAAACAATAGAACTTTATGTTATTAAGACATTAAATGATATTAAGGATATGTTGGATAATAAGGAAAGAAGTGTGAGAAAAGAAAAGGGAAAAAAATTATTTTTCAATTAAAAGAAAATGATATGAATAAAAGGAAAGTGTTTATTTTAAAAAAATAATAATTAATTAAATTAAAATTAAATATTTATTCAATTACAAAATTACTATATAATTATTAATTGTTTTTTATTAAAAAAATGAATTTTTAAAGTAATACCTTTAAATTATATATCTTATTTTTTTAAAATATATGCTTTGATATATAATTATAAATTATTCGTTATTATTTTTTAAAATTAAATTAATAAAATAATACCATATTACAAATAAATAAAATATATTAAATTATTGGTTTGAAGTCTATGAATAAGATCATTATATTCTCTACATATCATAATATTCATTATTATATATTATTTTTTTATATTTATTCTCCTCTCTTTGTATTAAGTATCAAAGTATTTTTAGGTGATTTTTTTTCTTTTTTAACATCCTTAAGAACTCGACTATGCCAGATGATCATTTTCAAATTCATTCAATATTCTAAATTTTTTTGGTAAAATATTTTTTATTATTTAAAATCAATCAAATAAATTATAATTTTTTATTTATTGTTTTCTCACATGTGACTATCTTCCTTCTAATCCAAATAATCTAATTATTCACTGTATTCTTTCTTTTTCTTGGATTTCGTATTCCTCATATTTATCTTTCAATTAAAACAAATGTTGAAGGAGAGTTTGCTTAGGGATAAAAAATAATCTACTAATCTTTTTATCTAATATTATAAAAATACCTATTATAAGTTACATGTTAAGAAACAAATACCATTTTTTTGTCTTTTTTCTGGATTTATATTTTTAATAACTTCAACCTCATCAAAGTCTTTATAAATAGATATCACAAAATTGATCAGGTTCAACCCATCATAAATATAACAGAGTGGATTAGTATTTTTATTATAATTTAGTTAGACACAAAGGCAACATATAAACCTTATATGAAGGAATCTTTATTTTGTGGGATATCATTGAAGAGGAGTAAGAGAATGACAAAAATGAAAAAAATGGAGAGATCTTCTAATGATCCAAGAATTGATTATTCCTATTCTCATGACTTAAATTGAATGTGTGATAAATACTTAAGGAGAGTGAAGTTTTATCAAATAAGAAAATATAAAATAAATTTTGTTTTATGTATTTAAATTTTTCAATATAAAAAATAAAGATTTTACACGAAGTTACCTACATATATTTGTTATTATTATAAAAATTTTATCTTGATTGTTTTAAATTATAATTTCTTAACATAATGTGTTAATTTATATTATTAACTTAAAATATATGTTATATTGTTAACAAACAAATAATAATTTTATTATAGCGAGTTAGTCTACCCTATCCTATTTTTAGTAGACTAAAAATGAAATAGGATAATCTAACCTGTTTGATAATTCTTATTTTAAATAACATTCAAGAATATATATATATATATATATATATATATATATATATATATATATTATTTATTTGATAAAGAAAAAACTTATGATATTAAGTGAGTAAGAGTTGTGTAGGTTTTTTTTAGTAACTAAAGAAGAGTTTTTTATATAATACAATATAATAAATAATATAAGATAAGTTTTTATTTAAATATATTTTTAATCTCTTAAATTTAAGTTTTTTTTCTTTTAGGCTTCTAAATTAAATTTTATTTTATTCCTCCTTAATTTGTTTTCACATTGTCACGATAAATGAAGTTATCAGATAAATTTTTTTGATGTAATTAAAACATTGGGATGATAATATATAATATCTTCATTTGCTTTATTAGATCTTGAAAATTTAAAATTACGATTAAATTTGTATTAAAATATAAATTAATAATTTGAATTATCTCTAAAATTATTATAAAAATATAGTTAGTCACTTAAACCAATTCATAAAAATTTTAAAAAAATTGACTTAATGTTATGAGTTTTTTTTTCATCCTTACTTTCGTAAAGCAGTAAAATGGAACAAAAGTTTTAATTATAGTTTTGAATTAAAAATTGGAAAAACTAGAAAAAAATTAAAACTATTATTTGTAAAAATGGGGCACTAAAACAAAACTTGAGTCAAATTTAAAAGATTAATTTTAAAAAAAATGACTTTTTTTGTCATTATTATAATTATATATATCATTACTAATGTAAGTATTATCAGTCACGTCAATCACGAATACAACACCGATAAACATAAAATAAAAAGTTTTTTTTTTAATTCAGGAACAGGATAAATACATTTTTTATTATAAGGAAAAAAGAATTGACTAAAAATTGAGGAAATAAAAATTGCATTTGCTTGGATTTGTTTCAATATACCTACCGTAGAGTTGTTATAATCTGTGAGATTTAAGACTATTCTAATCTCTTGGCATCCAAGCATCATGGATAAAAGCAGAAGCAAGGGACAGATGAGTTAATTAAACTCAATAATATATATATTCCTGTTTTTTCTTTGTTCAAGAGTTTTGTTCTTGCAATATTCGGAGTAATTTGTGAATGGTTGGTATTGAAGCGATGGCAGATCACTTATGCTAGGTGTCCTTGATCCTTCACATCACGAAGTTGAAGGAGATGATCAAAGAACTCATTCACTTTCAATCATTTTAGTACTCAGCAGGCAACTACATAAAAAGGGTAAACATCAATCACGATTTGCAGCCCACTTAAAAGGGAAAAATATGCACTTAACTGAATATCTAGAGGATTATTTGTGGTCATGAATCATCCAGCGTCGACCAACATGGTCTCATGTGTCCATTTCTCAAGCTTATCCTTGTGACCACACCCTTTCAACAAGCTCCTCTTTTCTTAGATATGCAATGCAAGACCTACACTTGTGCAAGATTCTGGATATATTAATATTCTATATGTTTTTCAAGACCCAAAAGTGAGTATATATTTGCCATTTTTGGTTGTCTGATTTTGCATTTGTCCTGGGCTATAAGTCCACAACCACAGACATAGAAAACCAAACAGTGTTGTCCTTGGAACTAAAGAAGGGTACAGCTAGCCTGCAGAGATCAACGTGCTTGTGGAGACTCAGATGATGCTCACGTTCTCTGTTCTTGTTCCTTTTCTTTTTTGACACCCCATTTCCAGGCTGGCAATTACTTTCTGACACCAGAAATCATTGAAGGTAAGACCCAGGTTAAGAAGCAGCATCAGAAGATATGTCATTGTTGGCTCCTACGCACTGTAATATTTTGTTTCTCAAATGTTTCAGGACCCCAAAGTGAACAAGGTTGCATTATATACAGCATAGTATAGACTTTTAGGAATTTGTGTAAAGAGGCATGCCCCATGTGAAATATCCATGCACAGGGATGGCAACCCACACCTTTCCAACAATTATCCCTTCATCTTTTTATTCCACTTGTCCTCCTCCTGCATTTTAAGCCATTTCTAGAAATCAGTTTTCTCTATGTTTATATTGTGTGCTACTTTCTTCAAGAAGAATCAGCAGTAAGACAAGTCCACACCTCATAGCACTGCCAAATTCAGAAGAATTCTTCTGACCCTGCAAAGCGCAACTAGAGGTATTACACTGTGAAACATTTCCAATCACACAGACATATATCTAACCTGATTGTTTTTCTTGCTGGAATTAATTAACTTTTGAACTTTTCTCACAATTGTCCAACTGTCCTTGTACTATGTCAATTTATATCCTGACAACTTGTGAATCAAATCATGGTGGATTTAGGAAGTTATTTTGATTTGATTAGTCAGTTAGATGCATCCACATGAAAAATTCTCCAACATTCATTTCGTTCCACGCAACCAGAAGAAGCACATTTTGCTCACCACAGCTTTCCATCAATTACTTTCATCCTAATTTTTCTTCCATCATCACTTGTCCTCCTCTGGGAATTTTCCTCTATCCATTGGGGACACTGTGTTCTGATATAACGAGCGAAAAACCCAGACACTGTCTTAGTCCAGTTTCGATGCATTAATTAGTGTCCCCTCCTGAGTAATCAACCTCCACCACTCATTTCAATATCCCACCCTCAAGCAAACAAAACTAGCCTGAATGAATGTGATGAACGAGCAAAATCAAAATGACCAAAAAGCCCCACACAACCCAACTCATCATTCGCTGTAGGAGTCCCACTCCTGTCACATGGCCATGCCATTCCAATTACTAACACTGCACCACCATGATATGATACTCGGACAAGATCATGTTAGTTCCAAAGTACAAATCAAACACTCTCAACTCAATCTCGATCCTCATCCCACAACAACATGCAGAGATTTATTATTCATTATTAATCACAAATTTTGCATGTAACGCATCTACTCAAGTCTTCTGTTCATACTAGATGTGACCCCAGTTGAATTTTCAGATTTTTTTCTGTTACCAACTAACAATAACAATACACAAATTCTACTATATAAAACTGGTAGGTAGTCTTCCATGAATTTTGATTCTCATTCAACAACAAAAGGCAGGGTTTTATTGTCTACAATTATTAGTAATTGAGCATTGCCAAGTGATTGGCATAGTTAATTCTTGTTTTTTGAGGGATTAATCGTCACATACACGTACATGAATGGAGCAGAGAGTCAGAATAATGGAGCCTTTTCCGAGAGACAAACGTGGCTCGCTCGAAGTGTTCAACCCTTCGTCTTCTTACTCCACCGAGAAGCCGGTGAACTCACCGCTGCGCACTCAATCCACGTGGAAGACGTGGATTGACTCGCGCGCCGACGAGACACCGGAGCAGCAGCAACGCGCCGGTTCTGATGAGGCCACCGCCACCTCGTGGATGGCTCTCAAGGACTCCACTCCGCCGCCGCCGTCGCGGACGCTTGCCGCAGTGCTCGGCGAGCCTTCAGCGCCAGCGGAGGCCGGGACTGCTGCGAAGCGCGCCGCGGAGTGGGGTCTGGTGCTGAAGACAGACACCAATACCGGGAAGCCGCAGGGAGTAGCGGTTCGGACCTCCGGCGGGGATGAGCCGAGCGCGAAGGTATCCGGTGGGTCGAGGAGAGACTCCGGCAACTCAGTTCGAAGCTCCGGGGAGTCCTCCGATGACGGGAGGGAGTACCGGGGGGGAATTCCGAGGGTTTCGGAGGACCTGAGGGACGCTTTGTCGGCGTTTCAACAAACTTTCGTGGTTTCGGATGCTACCAAACCCGATTACCCGATAATGTATGCCAGTGCCGGGTTTTTCAAGATGACGGGTTATACGTCCAAGGAGGTCATAGGGAGAAACTGGTAAGCTGAAGTTACTTATTTTTTAGAGTAATAATTTGTTAATTACAAACAGTCGTTGAAGAGTATAATAATTACTTAAAAATATTATTCATTAAGAATTTTTATTATTTGAGATTATGAAGCTTAATTTTCACGTATTAAACAAGATGAAACATAGAAAAATGAATTAGAATATGTTTTTATCCTGATATTTAATCACGGATAATTAACTGAGAATGAAAATTAGACTGATATAAAAATGTTTTTGATTAATCATTTAAAGAAAAGAATCTATTAAAGTGGAGGTGTCTGATAGAATAGTGAAAAAGAAATATGATGGAAGGTCTCTTTAACTGTAATAACTGTAAGGGAAAAGACAATAATAAACGGGTTGGGTCGGGTCGGGGTGGCAGTCGGTTTTTGCAGGGAGCAGACACGGATCCGGATGACGTGGCAAAGATAAGGGAAGCTTTACAAACTGGGTCGACCTACTGTGGAAGGTTACTGAATTACAAGAAGGACGGTACTCCCTTTTGGAACCTTCTTACTATTGCCCCTATCAAGGACGATGATGGCAGAGTCCTTAAATTTATAGGGTATGTACCTACTCCACTTTTCCTTTATTTACTAAATTGAATCTACCATACTTTATTCTGTATTATTGCTGTCATTAATTATTGTGGCTAATGGCATGGTTGGGACCTTATAGTGACATAACATAATTGACTCTTCACAAGCCCTCCTTTGCAAATTTTAAGATAAGAAGGAGCCACTCTCCACACTCATCTTCTTTCCAATTACAAAATGCCAAACACTCCTCTGTTATGTCTATTATTTCCATTTGTCATATATATGAGGTCCCTCTTCTTCTCAAATTTAATCACTGCAAATTTTATATTTCATAATATGCTATTTTTTTTCTTTATTTATCTATATATAGAAAAATATCTGAATTAGGTTGGTGTAACATTCTTACTTTGTTTTTTATGAATAATAGGAGATTGCCACGAATATTTATTTTCATACACTATAATGTCAGAGATATTTCAGGGTTTATGGAAAAGGAAACATTACATGCAAACATCACATATGTATTTTTATCTGCTTCAATCCATATCTTTGTTACTGTTCTTCAAATAAACAATTCATTGCCTCGCATTGATGATTGCATGAATTGACGACAAACACGAGACAAAGCATACAAAGTGAGGCATTGGTTGCACGTGGGTCTTTTTATTTTTTTTAAAAAGGAAAAATTAATTGCACGTGGTTCTTGTCTAATGGAACGGTAGCATGCACCATTGTCTGGCACAAGATTTGAGATTAATGAAGTCTGGTGTTTCACTTTTAGAAGAAAAAAAAAAAAGAATTTCAGATTTGTAACTACTAATTAAAAAACTAATTATTAAATTTTTATTAATAACCACGATTCCTTGGTTAATTTTTATAGAGAATTCCTTGTTTTACACGAGCTATATTCCATGAAAAGATGCTCACAACAACATCATGTAAACTTATATGGCAAGTATTGTTTGTGAATGATGGTGGCAGAATGCAAGTGGAGGTTAGCAAGCACACAGAGGGGACAAAGGAGAAGATGCTACGTCCCAATGGATTACCCGAATCCTTGATTCGATACGATGGTATGCATTGCAGATAACCTTTTAACTAAAAAATGAATGTATTTGGAGAAGAAAAGTAACAGGTTGGGGTGTGTTGGTGATGCAGCTCGTGAGAAGGAGAAGGCAAACAGTACAGTATCTGAGTTGTTGCAGGCTGTGAGGAGGCCACGGGCACTGAGTGAATCAGCAGGCCGTCCCGTGATCAGAAAGTCAGCATCAGGTGATGATGCTCAAGCTAAACCAGAGAAGCCATCCAGAAGAAAATCTGAGAGTGTCTCTTCTTTTAGACGCAAATCACATGCAGGAGACGCAACTTCAATGGAAAAAATCACTGAGCTACCTGAAAAGAAACACAAGACATCTCGTCGACGTTCCTTCATGGGGTACTATACCATGCTTATTTACTCAACTTATTCATTTTTATGCATTATCACATTTTACACCATCACCACTTAAATATTGGTTTAAATTCTTTTCAAATACTATAGTTTTCCTTCATGGGGGGGGGTGATCATCATCATCTGGCTAAAATACAAGTTTTTTAATTGAATATGTTATTTATATTTGATCCCATTTCACAACTTTATCTCTCTTTTACTTAAAAATAAATAAAAAACTTGATGTTTCTGATTTCTGTATATCTATATATGTTTTCAGGTTCATCAGGAAAAGTCAGTCAAATTTTGGAAGCTTCAATGATAAAGCAGTCATTGAGGACAGCTCTGAGAGTAGTGATGAGGATGATGAGAGGTGTGGTAGTTTTGATGGCAAAGTACAGAGGAGGGAAAAGAGAAAGGGTCTTGATCTTGCTACCACACTCGAACGTATTGAGAAGAACTTTGTCATCACTGATCCCAGGCTGCCTGATAATCCCATTGTAAGATATTCTTCTTCTTCTTCTTTTTTCTTTTCAATAATATCATTTATGCTGAAACAAACCTCGCTGTATTTATATTTAAAAATTATAATTTTATTATTGTATTATTATAAGATGATAATTAAAAATAGTTTTTTAAATATCATTACCCCTTTCTATATACGGGATTCATTTCATGTACTGGATATGAGCTTAAGATGGTTATGCTTTTTTGTGTTGGAATATGTGAAATCAAATATAGAAATTTTGTAACTTGCATAGAAAAATTAAGAGATTAAAAAAAAAAACGACAATGGGAATGAGTTTATATACAGTCAATTTGACATTCTTAAAAATGTCTAATCTTTTAAACAATATCAAAACATAACTGAAACAATTTAAAATTTAAATTAATTAACTGAAGCACAAAAAATAAAATCTGCAATAATAACAAAAACATCATCTAAAATTTGTTTAAAAGTCACCTTTCAAAAAGATAAAATCTCGTAACAATTTGATTTTCCAGATCTTTGCATCCGATAGCTTCTTGGAGCTTACGGAGTATAGTCGTGAAGAAATCTTGGGAAGAAATTGCAGGTATGGTTGAAATTAATATACACTTACCATGAAAATGAGTGTCAAAACACTGTAATTGGTATTACATAAGAGTATTGCATACTGGGTGCTTCCAGCTTTACCTCAGGCTTCACTTCACCTCACTTCACTTACTGGAGTATATGAATGCTTCCATGAAGGATCAGTGTGAAAATTCTATAAAAGAAAAGTGTCATGTAGAATACGTATATAGCAATATACCAAAAATTTCAGCAAACTAACTCTATAATTATTACATGACAAATGGTATTTATTTATATGCTAAATGGTTACGTAGGTTTCTGCAAGGGCCTGAAACTGATCCAGCAACAGTGAGAAAAATTCGAGAGGCTATTGACAATCAAACTGACGTTACTGTGCAACTCATCAATTATACAAAGAGTGGTAAGCTTATTAACTTTGTTCAACAAGCTATAATTTATTTTAGATTGGTTTTTTGTTGGCATTACCTGAATAATTCGTATAGAAGTATACGATGAAAAGTTCTCAGGATATTCATTATCACACTATATTTTCTTTATTAAAAAGAAACAGTAATGTTATTTTCTCCATAACTTTTTTTTTCCCGTGAATAACCTGTATGATTGTAGGAAATGAAAAATAGTTCAATATTTTCACAAATATCTATGCTTCCGTATCATGAATCCTTATCTATCACAATCTTCAAAGGAAAATAAATATTTAATAACTTGAAAGCTAAATATGGTTGCTAATTATTCTGCTCGATTCAGGTAAAAAGTTCTGGAACTTGTTTCATTTGCAACCTATGCGAGATCAGAAGGTACAGTTGTATATTAATGTCTTAGCCATATAACTTCTCTTTTTCGTAGTTAATCATGTCCCATTTACCCAAATCTTAGAACAGAAGCAAAGGTTTATTTCTTTTCCTGTTTCTTTGTTGAACAGGGAGAGGTACAGTACTTCATTGGAGTTCAACTTGATGGTAGTCAACACGTGGAGCCTCTTCAAAACCGCATTGCAGAAGATACTGCAAAAGAGGGAGAACAATTGGTATGGTTTCTATCCAAGTGCTTTATTAGTTTAACATATATTGACATCTACAGTTTTCTGTTGGGTTTCGACATCATTAAATATCCAAATAGAGGCTTTTAGTCTGAGTCTACAAAAGCTTATAAGTCCTCTATATGACCAAAGAGAAAGTTTTCGTATATAATTTGTTGGTATTATCTGTAATAGTAGGAGACTTTGCTCAATTTATTATGCTTTGTACTTTCCATGTTATAACAAGTTTATTTGACATCCATCCTCAGGTAAAAGAAACAGCTGAAAATGTCGATGATGCACTGAAAGAACTTCCAGATGCTAATTTGGTAAGTTTCCTGATTATATCAGTATCCTCTGAAAATCTCTTGCATTCAAATTTTTCTCATAATATTTTGGCTACCTCAGAAACCAGAAGATTTATGGATGAATCATACAAAAGTGGTTCACCCCAAACCTCATAGGAGGGATGAAGCTGCTTGGAAAGCTATTCAGAAGGTATTACTTATGTATTTGAAATTTGTCATATTTTCGAGTATTACTTTCTATTGCCATTAGCTAATTAAATATTGAGAAAGTACTAGATGAAAATATGACATAAACAACTAAAATCGATGTGTATATATTAATAATGCAATCTATTGAAGATTGTTTGAATTGGTCGAGATGACATCAAAGGTCCTTCTCCGCCTATATGGTTGTTATATTTAAAATTTTCTAATTAGTCACTTTTATTATCCGATGCAAGTTACATTTGCAAATTGATTACGTGATCATGGTTGTGCAGATCCTAGAAAGTGGAGAGCAGATTGGCTTGAATCATTTTAGACCAGTTAAACCTTTGGGATCAGGAGATACTGGCAGGTTTTTCCTGATTCTTCACTTTTCGACTTCCCAACATTTGAAATGTGCATGAAAAGTTGCAAAACCCCCAATCAATCTCCAGGGACAATGTTATTATATCACTTATTTACTGGATTTCAGTGTCTTTCTGGTGGAGCTAGGCGAAACTGGCCAATATTTTGCCATGAAGGCTATGGAGAAGGGTGTTATGCTCAATCGTAACAAAGTACAGAATTAAGTTATTTGACATTTTTTATTTTATTTTAACTTGTTACCTCCTACCATCAATAGTTTTAGAAATGTTTACTTGGGAGTTGTTCAGTATGCATTAGCTTTAATTTCTTTGCCTTTTGGTAATACATTTAATATTTATCGGTTAATTAAAAAAAATAAAAATATTCAAGTAGGTCTCTTTTAACTGAAATTGTAACTACAGGTGCATAGAGCTTGCATAGAGAGAGAGATCCTCGACATGTTGGACCACCCTTTTCTTCCTGCATTATATGCTTCCTTTCAGGTTTGTAACTCCAGTGCACTAAGAAGTTAGATAGTTATTAGAGAATAACGAAAATGAGACTTAAACTCCAGTGAATACAAGTACAATATTAGTTCTTGAACTCAAGCTCTAAAAACTGAAACACCATCAATCTTAAAGACTCTTAACAACTAAAATGATCTGAATAGATGATTAAATAACTAAAATTAGTAGGATTTTACATCGGGATCTTTATGATTGGATCAATGATCCCTCACCCTGCTGCCACTCTCTTTAAGCCTATGATTAAAAGGTGCAAATATGTCATAACTGAAACTATTCAACATATGCTTTTCATGGAGGATGGTTTCACACGTCGTACAAAACCTTCATTCTTATTTCATTTAACTAAATCCTACATAATTGAAAACAAATTATGCATACATTACTTCTTAACTTACTATAAATGAAATTTAACTGCTTTGAAATTTGATTAATTTGCAGACCAAAACACATGTTTGTTTGATAACCGATTATTGTTCTGGTGGAGAACTATTCCTTCTTCTTGACCGACAGCCAGCTAAGGTTCTCAGGGAAGATGCAGTGAGGTATATTCTACCTCGCAAAGAATCTATGTATGTTTTTAGAGTTTGAAGACTAACAAAATTGATAAAGGAGCAGTGGAGGTTTGAAGACCATCCCAGAGATTTTCTTTATTTTAGTAACTGCTAAATTATCTTCTAGTACACTTACGCAAAAACTGCAAGCCTCGATTTTCATTAATTTTCTTTTTCTAGTCAAACTCAAATTTTCTTTGATTTCCTTATTAATCCAATCCTTTCCTTATTTTTCTATACATACATATATATTACTACAACTTTATTAATTAGTTGTATATTCCTGCTGTAAAAAGCAGATGATCCTTCTTCAACTGTTACTTATGTTTCTCTATTTTCCTTTCTCTTAAATAATGTGCTTGATAATAATAGATTTTACGCGGCTGAAGTAGTTGTTGCATTGGAGTATCTTCATTGCCAAGGTAGGTTCTTATTCATCACCCAACATGATGACAATAATTGATATTATATTGTTTTTGGGTAATGGGTGTGTTACCTTTTACTCCTGAATTTTTCAACTTGCGAAGTGTTATTGAAAAAATATTTCCAGTACTCTGAATCAGTATATCAGGTGCAATCATCCATATGGATGTTCAAAAGTATTTTTCTCAACTACGTTTGAAACCTCTTCATTAAATTGACCTAATAGCATTATATCATCCTTTCCGAGAGTGAAATTCCGTCTTAGCAAGAAATTTTACTGCCACTTAAATTCTAAATTTACGTATATTAATACATTCAGACAACATCTAAGATAATAACATTGTTTGTTGAAAATTCACAGGGATAATATATCGGGATCTGAAGCCAGAAAATGTGCTACTACAAAGCAGTGGGCATGTGTCCCTAACTGATTTTGATTTGTCATGTTTGACATCTTGCAAACCACAGGTATCTTAGAGACAAAAACTTCAGATAATGAAGCTTTTATTTAGAATTCAGACAAATTTATGTTATACTGATTGCACTCTTTATAGCTTCTAGTTCCATCTACAAATGAGAAGAAGAAAGCACAGAAAGGCCATCAACCTCCAATATTTATGGCTGAACCTATGAGAGCATCAAACTCTTTTGTGGGCACAGAAGAGTACATAGCTCCGGTTGGTTGTTTCTGGACATACTTTTTCTTGAGCAGCAAATCATTTATAGACACCAAATTCTTAGGGAAGCATGCATGATTTATAGTTAACGTGTTTCACCTTATAATTTGATAGATCAAGTTGAACTTGTTAGATGTATAAGAAGTTCTGTAGTATACTTAACGAGAAGGAAAAGACTTGCATTTCGTTTGTACAATCATTATTGATAAACTTGCCAATTAAACACAAAATAGCCTTTTCAGACATGGAGGGTAAAGACCCCCTTTTTTAAGGGCTGGTTATGGGATCCTGGTGGACAATAGATTATTACATTCATGTTATTGAAACTTATTTGAACTTTTTCTTTCTCACAATTTGTTGTAAACTGCAATTGACTTGTGCAGGAAATTATAACTGGTTCAGGCCATACAAGTGCTGTGGATTGGTGGGCTCTTGGTAAATTTTTAATACTTAAAGTAAATTTATCCACTAAATCAATTTTGAATGCATGGACTTACAAGTCAGGCCGAAATCAATTCTATTTATCTCTTTCACTTACAAGTCACACGGATATACTCGAAAACATATTTTGAATGCATGCATTACTTTTGTCAGGAATTCTTCTATATGAAATGTTTTATGGATATACACCATTCAGGGGAAAGACCAGGCAAAAAACATTTACAAATATTCTTCACAAGGACCTTAAATTTCCCAAAAGTAAACAGGTGAGGTTGTTCTCCTGGACATCGACAACTATGCTTTGAAACTATGTTGCAAAACAATGCAACAATTTCCTTAATTTCAAGAGCTCAAAATTGGATTTTCATATGAAATGCTCGTAAAAATCTCACCTGGTTAGACTCTCTGCAGATGCATCATGCAGAAAGATTAAACCTCCAAAGTTTAAATTCACCTATATGTAAATAAGATAAAATCATGATGCAGGTAAGTTTCAGTGCAAAGCAGTTAATTTACCGGTTGTTGAACAGAGATCCCAAAAGCAGATTGGGTTCAAGAGAAGGAGCAAACGAAATTAAGAACCATCCATTCTTTCGGGGTGTCAATTGGGCCCTAGTTCGTTGCACGGTAACATGAGTTAACTATTGCCATATCATGTTTAACTCCATTCTCTCTATTCCTTATTGTTATTACATGTTTGATTAGTGTGTTACCAGAAACTGATAAACTATTCAATAAATATATAATCGTGAATAATTTACTATTACCATAAATTCTGATGACAGAAACCTCCTGAGCTTGATGCCCCTCTCTTCGAGACAACTGAAGGAGAACAGGAAGCCAAATTTGATGATCATGTTAGTCAAAGAAAGTGGCTGCCAAATTCTTCAATTCTGGCTGCCAAATTTTTAAAGCGAGCATGAGGTGCCCACGAGGCATTTTTTTATGGTAATGCACAGTACCAATTTTTGCTATAAATTGGTCTTCTCCCTGCAAGCAAATGCATCCCATCCCACACAAAATACTACTTCTCTTAGAGAAGAAAGAGTGGCACCAGTGAGAGGCAGAAAAACTAGAGAGTTTTAGTTTAGCTTCTGGGTGTAATTGGGTTGTGAGTTGTGAGTGTTTTGGGAGTGTTTTGTAAACACTTGTGTATTTTTCTTTTCTCCTAGTAAGAGATCTGTAGTAGTCCGGAGACGTAGGCATTATTGGCCGAACTCCGTTATCAACTTGTGTGTGCAATTATTCCGCTTTTATTTCACTTTCACAGATCTGACCATATGGGAAGATTCCGCATATTTTTCCCAACAACTGGTATCAGAGCCAGGTTGTTAGTTCTGTAATTTTTGTGGTGTTACTATTCATATGAATAGTAAGTTACTATTCCGTGAATAGTGAAAACGTGAATAGTGCAAATTTTGTCGGCGTTACAAATTTGCCCGCAGTCGTGTTCTGAAACACGGTAGCTCACAGAAATTGTCAGAAACGATCCAGCAGATAAGTCAGATCAGAGTTGGAGTGATGGCTGCAGACGAAGGAAAAATGAAAATCGAAAGGTTCGACGGTACAGACTTTGGCTTCTGGAAAATGCAGATAGAGGATTATCTGTATCAGAAGAAGATGCATCAACCACTCACAGGGGAGAAGCCAGAAACCATGAAAGAGGAAGAATGGAGACTCCTTGATAGACAGGCTCTTGGAGTTATTCGTCTAACATTATCCCGTAATGTTGCTTTCAACATTGTGAAAGAAAAGACGACCTCAGATCTCATGAAGGCTCTTTCCAACATGTACGAGAAACCATCAGCCTCAAACAAAGTTCACTTGATGAGGCGATTGTTCAACCTGCGGATGTCTGAAGGTGCTTCGGTGGCAAATCATCTCAATGAACTCAACACTGTAACAACCCAGTTGAGTTCTATTGACATCAAATTCGATGATGAAGTACAGGCTTTAATACTTTTGTCTTCCCTACCGAGAGTTGGAATGCTACGGTCACAACTGTGAGTAGCTCATCTGGAAACAATAAGTTAAGATTTAATGATGTTCAAAATTTGGTTCTCAGCCGAAGAGATCCGATGGAGAGAGTCGGGTGAAGCATCAACCTCTTCAGCATTGCATACAGAGTCAAGAGGAAGAAGTTCAACCAAAGAAATTGGACATGGAAAATCAAAGGACAGACGGTCCAAGTCCAGAAATCATCGTAGTTCCCACAACTCAAAAACGATCGAGTGTTGGAATTGTGGGAAGACCGGACACTTCGTAAAACCAAGGCAAGAGTGCACTGAAGAATCAAGGAGCAAAGGACGAAGCAAACGTTGCCTCCACCTCGAGAAAAGATGAGGCGTTGATATGCTCTCTTGAAGGCAGGGAGGAGTCTTGGGTGTTAGACTCCGGAGCATCTTTTCATGCTACCTCACGTAAGGAACTGCTGGAGAATTATGTTCCCTGAAACCTTGGTAAGGTTTACCTTGGTAATGAACAAGTCATGTGAGATTGTAGGCAAAGGTGCAGTAAGGATTAAGCTCGAATGGGTCTGTATGGGAATTGAAAAATGTCGGACATATTCCCGACCCGACAAAGAGCTTAATCTCAGTAGGTCAGC